TATCTGATATGATAGTTCTGCTACAAGGGCAACACTTTTGTCCTGCCAATTTTTCCTGCACACAGCTCCTAAACAAGATGGGAGATTATAGTGACATGCCCAGTGAAGTGAATTGAATATTGCGCTTCCTGCTTTAGCTGCAAATGGGCTTGTTATCTCATTGGATCTCTATGCATGTGTTGTTATTCTTTCAACTAGTATTTCAACATGAATACCCTGCTGATGGTTACAGGGAAGTTACTGGAGTTAGCAGCTTGCTGCTCTTTATACAGAATTGCCATGGCATTCCAAATAATTCAGTGGTAAGAAAACATTAGCCTGGAATAGTTGAGATTAGAAGGGACCTCTGAAGGTCATCTAGTTCAATGCCTCTGCTCAAGCAGGATCACCTATGCAGGCTTTCCAGGAGCATGTCCCAGTGGCTTTTGAATGTCCCCAAGATGGCATACTCCACAACCTCTCTGGGCAACCTGTGTCAGTGCTTACTCACCCTCACAGTAAATAGGTGTTTCCTGATGTTCAGATGGCACCTGCGTGTTTCGGTTTGTGCCCGTTGCCTCTTGTCAGTGGGCATCCCTGCAAAGAGCCTGGCTTAATCTGCTTTACGCCCTCCCTTCAGTGTGGTGTAAACAGCAAGAAGTAGGATGAAAAGAGACAGCCTCAGGTTGCATCAGGGGAGGTTTATATTGGATATTAGGAAGAAATTACTTCACTGAAAGAGTTCTTGAGCACTGGAGCAGGCTGCCCAGGAAAGTGGTTGAGTCCCCATCCCTGGAGGTATTTAAAGGATGCATAGATATGGCACTTAGAGATATGATCTAGTGATGGACTTGGCAGTATTAGGTTTATGGTTGGATTTAATGATCTTAAAGGTCTTTTCCAACCTAAATGATTTTAAGATTCTATATTCTATTACATACATGGATAAGATCTCCCCGAGCTTTCTCTTCTTCAGGCTGGGCAATCACAGCTTCTCATCTTTTCCACACAATAGCCCCTGATGCTCCAGTTCCTTAACCATCTTAATGGCCTTTCACAGCTCTCCAATAGCTCCATATTTCCTTTCTACCAGAGAGCCCAAAAGTGGACACAGCACTCCAGGTGTGGACTCACCAGTGCTGAGCTCTGCTCACCTCCCTCAGCCTGTGACAGCACTCTTCCTAATGCTGCCCAGGATATCGTTAGCCTTCACTGCTGCAAGGGCGTGTTGCTGGCTCGTGTTCAATTTGGTGTCCACCAGGACACCCAGGCTCTTTTCTGCCAAGCCGCTTCCCAGTTGGTAGGCTCCCAGCATATGCTGGTCTAAAGGGTTCTTCCTTCCCACTTACTTGCAGGCAATTCCCCCCCCCCAGTATAGGAGAGATATTCATTGGCAGCTGGTCAGCTTTTTCCAGTTCTTCACACAAGACATTGAGAGATAATTTGCCATCTACTAAAGCAGGGTAAGTTATGGCAGTAATGCAGACAACAGCATAGTGTATGCTATAAAGTTTGGAGGAAGACATTAAAACAAACGTGAAAGCCTGTTATTGATCGCCTAAAAAGGGGATCTAGAGATAAAAAATAGCTACAGAAATGGAAGACAGAAAATACAAATGCTCCAGAGTGCTGTTCTTGGAGACTCCTCCGTTACGGTTCACTGCTTTCTCTTAAGTTTTAATGCTTCACAATAAATCAGATTAAACACTCGATATTTGTACATAACAATTTGAAATGCATGCTTTTATCAGATTAAGTGTATACTAGAGCATGGAGAAGGTCATCCATTATTTTTGTTAATAAGTTTGGTATAGATTCAGCAGTCAGGCATAACTATTTATGATACAAACTTGAGGGGAATGTGGTGTGGGAATGGCCGTGGTGCCATTCCGAATACCCTAAACCTCACAAAACACGAAGTCTGGACAAGTAGGTTCTGGTAAAAGATGAAACAAACCAACACGTGTTCTGTCCTTCACTGTCAACATGACAACTCGTAAGCGTTCTTTTTCTCTGCATCTTCCTCCTGTTATTATCACCCTGTCTGAGCTAAATGACCCGTGACAGATGACAAATGTAGGATGGTTTGTAGGCAAATATCACACTCCAAACTGGATGTATTGTGAGAGTAGCCTGCTATGCTGAAGCTTAACACAAATGCAAAAGAATTCCCTTCTTCACTCTGGGATAAGTCTCCAGTAGTTAATTCAATTAAGCACAGGGTAAATCCTCATTGCATTAGGCTTTTTTGATTGAAAGATTGATTTCTGTGACTTTATATGAAAGGTATCAGCAACCGGAACTGACTGGTGAAATACGTTATGTCAAATCAGACTCAATACTCTGCTCAACATAGTATAATCTTCCTGGCTTTCATGTTTGATTCCCCGAGGTTTTGGAGATATTTCAAATGTTGATCTTCAGTGTGAAAGTTGGATGCTTGCCTCTTTAGCTGAGCTTGCAACAGCATCTTTATTTAGAACAGAACTTTAAAAAGCTTGAATGCTACCCTGTCATGGAATGGTAGCAATTTTCTTTACTTTAAAGAAAGGAAAGTGAAGGGGAAAAGGTAGGGCCACATTCAGTCTTCAAATATAGAAAAAGCATCCATAAAGAGGAAAGTAGTAGTTGTCTTTGTACTCGTGGATAGCTCAGGAAGCAGTGGGGTTTATGCTGTGCCAGGAAAGACTGATCTACACGCAAGGCCAGAGCTTGTTTGTGGGGGTTGTTTTGGGGGGTCTGGGGAAGTGGTGTTACTGTTTAATGATGAGCTTTATGGAGCAAAGAACAGTTTGGGAAGTCTGTCATGAATGGGCTAAATATAATGGTCCTCTGTTTGTACTGGAGGGGATGAAGCCAATGCTGCTTAAAGTCCCTTCCGCCTATATTGTTCTATAAACCTGTGCCACCATTGGAGCTGGGCACATAGTAAGCTCACTGCCAGTTACATTTTTCTCCATGTAAGGCAGCATTTTGCTCCTGCACAGAACAGATAACGAGTCCTTCCTTGTGAGGCCACCTTTGGTTCTTTTGCAGGACATCAGTCTGGTGGCAACCTGCCATTTTGTAGAAGCACTTGAATAAACCAAAAGTAGTGCAGTTTAGCTGTAGTCCCTGAATTTTGCAGCCCTTTCTGTGTAGTTAAGTGTTACTTACAGTTACTGAAAGGTGAGGCATATTCTTTTGTTAGCGAGTTCTTATTTTTATGTGCTGCTTTCAAGCTCTGTGTGGTTGGGCAGATTTGTTCCTTAAACTGATGCTCTTCTCTCCTCTCCATGTAAAACCAACGGTTGTCTTATTGCTGATGTCCCACATGGCTGTGGGATGGGAGTCTGATGCTGTGGTGTACCTTCTTTCTGTCAGAGATGGTTGGAGCAACAATGGCCTCAACTTAGTTCTGTTCCCTTCTTATCATTCCATGTAAATATTGTTTAAATCTGGGGGCAGGAGAGTGGTTTGTTTGAAGGTAATGATAACAGAATGAAAAGATAAGGTAGTTTAAAGACAGAGTTGAGGAAGTTTTACTCATCTTGTCCAAGGAGTATTCTCCAGCTGCTCCTTGAAATCAGGTCTGTGTCATGAAATTCCTATTAATTTATATATTTACTTGTTTGTTATTTCTGTGTCTGGTAGCTCAATGGCTCTTGCTAGGGTTTGGTTTCATTTTGACCTGCAGAATTCCTTGTTATTGTCCCCACTTAGAGTACTTTGCTTGAAAAGAATGCAAGATGTGCACTTTCTGACCATTTTTAGCAGCTTGTCAATGCTAATCCCAAGAATCGTGTTGCATCTTGTCTCTGCCAGCAGTGTCAAATCACAAATTGCTTTTACAACAAATTCAAGAGAGCAAGTGAGTATTTTACACAACTTGGGTTTTCACTGAGCAGAAGTGGTTTGCTTTGCCATAGGTGACTTTCAACACCTGAGCTCAGCTGAGGTTTGCCTGGATTTTCTTTGGGAAGATAAAGGTCTTCAGCTCTGGAATTCATTTTCTCTGAATCTCAAGTCTTCAGTGCAAGGTTGTGTCAAAAAGGCCTGTTGAGATCTGGGGCTGTCAATAAGGCATTAAGAAAAATGAGGGCAAAATAAGTGATTTTATTTCTGTGTAGTGCATTGGCAAAGACTGTTGAAATAGTTCTGGAAAAACTGTATTTAATGATCCAATGTTTAAGTGAACAGCCGGTGTGGAAAACAGGCTCCAAAGTAATCCAGAGACTGGAGGTGCCTTTTGCAATAACAAATGCAAAACCAGTTCAGTTTGTGTAGGTATCAAAAACATGACTTTGAGATGACTTGATTGCAAAATCTAACTGTCTTGATTGCAAAATGTGAGTGCCTCTGAGGAGAGAAAATACCACGTAGTAATGGGCTCTTCAAACTAGCATAGAAAGACACAGCAGATCAGTCGCTGGAAGCTGATGGCAGACAAACTAATCTGTGGTCATGAGACGCAGTTTTAACTCTGTGTGTGTTGTTGTCAATGGTACAAACTCCCAAGGGGAATGTTTGGGCCCTGAGTTGCTGGTTTTATGAAATCAAGTCTAAATGTCTCTCTGGAAGACATTTAGGAGTAGGAAAGTTACTGGGCTTGTTTCATTGGAAACAGGGTAAAATTTTGCGGCATGTGGTACACAGGTCATTCAAAATGACAGTAATGGTCTTGTCTGTCTTTAAACTCTATGAATAAATGTTGAAGTTCAGCTCAGCTCCTTCATTATGTCCAGTACAACTGGCTGCTTGTATTTAACTTTATTCTCATACAAGCCTTACTTTACAGCCTCCAATATTTCTATATATGAATTGCAAAGAGGTGACTGCAGTTACTCGTCCCTGAGTCACCATGTGGTTTGTGTTTGTGATCAGGCCAGCCTGACCTGTGGGTGCTTAAGGGCTGCTTTGTGCCCATCAGGTTTTGATAACGCCCAGTACTGTGCCTTCAAGTACCACTCAGCCCAACCCCATGTGTTTGGGGTGACAGCACTTTTATCACTGGCCTTACCCTTGCCAGCAAATGCCACTCAGCAAGGCTGTGAGGCCATGAAACTGTGTTAAGCAACACTCATGGCAATGACTGGATCTGCTGGTTTAGCGTGTCTCAATGTTTCTGAAATGGTAATCTTCTTGTGCTGTTATGTGTAAAGGTGACCCCTCTGTGTCTGGCCCTTGGCAGTTTGCTTCAGACAGCTCATCAGCTTGATTCATTTGGCCGGGTGGTCAGTCAGCACCTTCTCCGCAGAGGTAAAGCAGGATTGAGCTCTTCACTGATTTGCAAGGGTATAACGGCATCTACTAGAAATGCAGACCTTGCTGGAGATGCATTAGGGTTTCATTTTTGTGGCAGCTATATACTTACCAGGGGCACAAAGATTACAACCCCGTTCGGCTTGTTAGCAGCCATGCAGGAATAAGGAGGGACAATGTCATCTGAGGAATCCTGAGCTCCTGTTGGAGAGACAGGCCCGAGTGAATGCATTTCTACAGTCAGCTCTCTTTCTATCTGGCTTTTCTCTTGTAGTTAAAATTGCAAAACAGAGTGAAGCATGGCTTGGGATGTTTGGTTGTTACTGCGTTTGGCCACATGATGGCACGCATCAGTCAAATGAGCATTACAGTATTACCCGAGGACTACTGTGAATGGAGAGGACTTACGGCTCCTCTTCGGGGCTGGGGTGATCAGGGTTTATCCTCCCTAGCTTCTGGTTTGATCCGCAGTTTGCCTTGATCACAGCGAGGGACGCTGGTGTTGAAAATATACTGCAAAAGAAGAGCAAGAAGGGTCTGAAGGAGCAGCAAACAGCACGTGGGGCAAAAACCAGTCAGCTTTTAAAAGGGGCTGGTAGCAAGAAAACTCTTGGTTTTCCTGGTTGTGTTGTTTTGCCTTGCTATGGGTTTCTCTTCAAAGGATCAGTCTGATGCAGAGGGTTGACCAACGTACAAGGGGGTCCTACAAGGGGGGATAAAGGAATTTTGCCTGTTTAACAGAAAGCATTGTTTGCAAATACCTGTCAAGCTTGCCATGCAGTACCAGGACTATAGGCTAGTGATAAGGGGGAGAAACAGACTGATAAGGGGGAGGAACAGTTACTTAGTTCCAGTGAAGACCAGCTTTGTGGTTTGGACTTTGACCAGACTCCTAAAGACCATGCGTGACGGCTAGAGGTGAAAAGTTCAGGCTCGAGGAAGACTCATTTACTTCATCTTGAAGATCCCTACTCACAAGAGGAAGACTCAGTTACTTCATCTTGAGACCCTTGCCCATGACTGGGGGGGGGGGGGCACTGCTCAGGTGCAAAGGACCTTCTAGCTCATTATAATACAAAGGGGGGGGACAGGACATGAATATGTATAGGTGTATTGTGCAACCTCATGAATATATATAACTTTAGAGAATAAGTGTAGAGGGAAACAACACTGAGGCACGCATGCCTTTGGAGGAGCTATCCCCCATGTGTCTCAGTGCTGAATAAAAGCATACCTACTCCACAACTTTAACGAGTTGTGGAGTCTATCTGCATATCAAGTCAACACCCAAGAATCAGGAAACACGTGTTACCTTTCCAGGTTATAGAAGAGAAATAACGTGTTGTACCATATAATGTGTTGTACTTCCTTTGAGATGTGAGGTGAGGGACTTAAAATATTAGTGACTAATGCTCTTTGCCTCCCCAGTGCTACAGAGATGGCTGGTGAAAACATCTAAGTGTGCTATAGGATCAGAGTGGTCTAGTGTGGTACCTGTAACTCAAATAGTGTTTAATGAAAGTCAGCCTCAGAAGTGACTATGAAGTTTATGCTTAGTTTATTGCAGCTTCAGAGGCGTTAGTTCCTGCATCCTGCATTTATTTCTGCTTCCTAATTACTAATAAAACAGCAAAAGCTTGTTGGTTCCATAACTCTCACCAGTTTATATATATATATGTGTGTGTGTGTGTATATATATTTAACATAATTTGCATGAAGAAGGACTCCCAGTTGAATGGAAACTATAGAAGTATATTTCATATTAATTCTAGTGGTAGCAGCTAAAGACCAGTAGCCCCCATAGCAATGCTGCAATGTAGCATTTGAATTAAAGACCAAACATTCATGGGGGTGTAGAAAATAAATGCAGGGGCTGCAGAAATCTCCGTGGGCATCTGCATTTTACTGTGGTGCAACTAGTAAGCACAATGACAGGAGTATAGAAAATCGTTGTCAGGGTATTTGCAGCAGTGACCCCAAGGCATCACTCCTTTTTCCATGCAGAGTTTCTATGTGGGAAACGATACATGACTGAAAACAACATAAGGAGGGACACATGAATCTGAAGGAAGATTTTCAAAGGTTAGGCTAACTGCTGGGAAGAGATTGTTTTAGTGTTGTTCTCCACCTCCCATCCTCACCCAATAGCTTTAGAACACCTGCGTGCCTCAGCAGGGAGATCGAACTACTTCACTTCCAGTTCTTCTTCCACCGCCTGCCTTGTGTGGGCTTGGTTTCCGTGTTGCCATCAAAAACACGCAGAGGTAGTGCATAGCTGTCAGGAGAAGCCTGTCAGGCCACTCTGAAAGATGCTCTACCTTTATTAACAACAATTTGTGGGTGTACTTCTGCTTTTAAGCAAAAAGAAAGCTTGGACAGGGCCTTGAACAATCTGGTCTAGTGGAAGGTGTCTCTGCCCGTGGCAGGGGCTGGAACTGGATGGCCTTAAGGTCCTTTCCAACACAAACCGTTCTATGAAAAACCTGCACCCCTAAGTCCTCAGCAAGCTCCTCACTCATAAGACAGAGCAGTCAGATCCCTGAATGGCACATGAAAATTCCCAAGCATCAGACAAGCATTTGACATCTTTGTTAGTAAACAGACGCGGCACAGTTGTGTTTCTTATGACACTGAGTTACAGCACAGCATGTTCTGCATTCATCTCTCCCCTTTTCCTTGTGCTTTTTTCTCTTCTCCTCCCGCCCCCATTGCTGGCAAGCTGATTCGAGAGAGGCCAGGGATGAGACCCGTGCCTCTTTCAAGCTGAGTGCCTTTGTTAGGCATTTGAGAGGGTTGCTTTCCTGCCCTCGGGTACCCTAGCACGCAATGTGAAAGGTGCAGGAGTTCAGGGACTGCTGAGTGCTTAGCTGCGGCACTTGGCTAAGCGAAGGCAACTCGCGGGCAAGTACAGCAATTAGAAGGAAAAGAAAATATTTTTCTATGGGGAATGTTCCTTGACCCCACAGCTGTAACTTAGAATGGAAAATAGATACATACATAAAGCTGTCTCCGTAGAGAGGGGAGAATTAGTTTGGTTTTTAAAGAGGCGAAAATGCTTTTCTGCACAGAATTCATTGTGCCACACAGAGGAAACAGCACAATTTGAGCACAGGCTTTTAAATGTAAGGTGCTTTGCAATGTACCTTTTCTAAATTTCTCTTTTTATAGTACACTAGCACTAAAATGTTAGTTTTGAAAATGATATCCTAATTCCTCGTGGTATCTCCAACTGTGTTTGTCATCCTTTTCCTTGTGAAGAACTTCATAAACGATCCAGTGTCCTTTGCAGGGTTATTGTTTTGGCCTGGAATACAGTCAACAGAGTCTTCCGAGTGAAAAGTGCAATCCAAATCAGGTGGAATCACAGAATCATTTATAGTGGAAAAGACCTTGAGGAGCATTGAGTCCAACCGTTAACCTAACACTGCCAAGTCCAGCACTGAACGATGTCCCTGATCTCGGCATCTACATGGCTTTTAAATGCCTCCAGGGATGGTGAGTCAACCACCTCCCTGGGCAGCCTGTTCCACTCCTTGCAACCCTTTCAGTGAAGAAATTCTTCCTAATATCCAACGGAAAGCTCCCCTGGTGCAACTTGCTGCCCAGAATTCCATCTCATTTGGCATTTAGAAAACACAGGCTAACTGCTCAGACTTGCAAAAATCCCATGGGTTTTTCACTCAGCACAGATGGTTAAAACCTGGAGTTTGTATCTCATCCAGTTAAACTATCATGGGTTCCTGACTGCAACACTAAGGTACTCTACTAACCTGTCTCTAAAGAAAAGCTATATTCCTAATTTGCTTCTCTCTGGTTCCTTTTTTTGAAGAGCAATGTAGAGGATGGGAACCAAGTTTCATTGTGGTGCTTGTCATTAGGTAATATATTCCAAGGCTTGCACTGTATTGGTTGCATGCCATGATGAATATATAAATAAGAGTGAAATTGAAGCCAGATCAAGCTCTCTCTTCTTGCTTCAGATACCCTGTAATCTGTAGCTCAGTTTTAGCTCTGGTGTTGGAGCTTAATGCAAAAAATCCAAAATCCAGGACTTAATGTCTCCAAGTGCCAGCTGCCTGCTAAATCTCCCTGACTGCTGTGGCAGGAGGCACCGTGACCCTTTAGGAATGACTCTCATCTTGTCTGCCTAGAACTAGTCCATGGAGTCACTACTTAGACACGTGCAGTAGGTCCAGGAGAGCACATGGTCCTCTGTCCCCACTGTTTCACTCCAGACATGCGCCCTATAGCAGCTTGAAAATGGTCCTGCAGATAAGCCTCGTGGAGCCGCAGACTAACCCACAGATGCAGCCAGTAAGGTACAGTAATATGGATTAAGTTGTTCAGCTCCAGTTTGGCCTGAGTTAGTAAGTGAAATTCCTTCATTTCAAATTGTTACCAAGGCTCCTTTTTCCCTTTCATACCCTTAAAAAGTGGTCGTATTATTCTTGGGTTGTTGCATTTGGGCTCAAAAGGAATTTAAACTGCCTGCTGACAATGATGAATGAATCGACTCCAAATCCCTTGATGTGGATCAGCTCTATACCATAACAATAATATTGTTGTTTAACATTTATACTGAAGTAATACCATGAGGAATCTCAGCCATTCGGGGCCTAATTTGGTTAGGAACTGAATAAAGCACAGAGCAAAGTAACAGTCTTGTTCCAAAGACAAGGCTGTCTAAAACACAACCTGTGCCAGTTGCAGGAGGCGAAAAAGACGAGGAGCAGAATGATAGAAATGACAGTTGCATCTTTATAGAGTTCTGCAGACTGTCTGTGCTGCTTAATTTTCTTGCATGGTTGATCTGCCGTGCTGTTCCTGGATCTTGCTCAGCCTTACCCAC